AAGCTGTGTCACAATATTCCTTTTCAAATCGTCGTAGTTTTCAGTAAAAGGTAATGTGCTAGGACACTACTTTGCCGTGAACCACTGGTAGCCGGCCAAGCCACTGCTGCGGGGATAGAACACTACCCACTGGCGCCCCATAATTAATATTATAGACGTGTACGTTCCTTCTTGTACAGAAAGTGTTGGCGCATTATATTGTATTATAATTTTTCTTCGACTTCGTGTTGTAGGAACTAAGGAAGCATTGTACGTGTTGTACGTACGTTTTACATAATAATTATAAATTTTATTATTTTAACCGCCCAACACCCGAGGTGAACATACGTTGAAGTTACTTTTATGTTGAAGTAAAGAATAAAGAACCGCAAAATTAAGTATGGCTAGGAGAGGCACCGTAATAAGTCCTATAGTGTTCCCTGTCCTATGAGATAGTTAATTGTCGTTAATTTGCCACCTTCGTGATGACAGGTACGTGGCAGGGAAGAGAGCCCCGGACAAAGAGAAGTTGAGGGGCGACACTGAAGCACTAGCGCGCCCTGCTCAGATGAGAGAATCTCTCCTTCCGCCATCTCATTCCCCTCGCATATGTCTCCGTTGAGTCTTTAGTAGCTTTTGCTTTTACCACATTTGTTGTCAGCATGTCCGCTAACCTTATAATAACACCCCATTCAGTATATTGTCCTATTGTTATTTTATTCCTTATGTTGTATTGTTCCTCATTTAATGTTCTTTGCCCAGTAACACAACAGAACGTTACACCAGGATGCACCATTTAAACTATATCATTCGAGGATGTCAAGATGATTTTTTTTGGCCGATCTTAGGCGCTCAAAATGGGCAGGGGTATGCCCGAGGGAGATGTGCATGACAAAATCCGATCTAAAGATTTCACTTTGGCCACAGCATCCCGCTACACCCCTTCTCCCATGTGAATGTACATATAGCGGGCGGGTCGATGTTTTTCGGCCGATCTCACGCGCTTAAAAAGACATGGAGAGACATGGCTGCAGCTAGGAGATGTGCATGGAAGTACATCGCGGACGGATATGTCACTGACAAAATTGAATATGTCACTGTCAAAATTGCACATTTATATGCAGTAAACAAGCTACGCAGAAGACTCTGTAGATGACTCTCATGTACGAGCTATCACAGTCCCTATGCCGTCTGGCCGCAGCCATACGGTCATAGCCTACACGCTATTCTTACTCGTGTTGACAACAGATGGCAGCAGTAGTGCAGGTAAAGTGACGACGAATTTAAAGATTTAGCGTAAATTGGGAAAGTACGTTCTTGTAGCGTCTTCAAGTCAAATTCGCGGAGCACAATCGTGGAACAAATCGCTGAGATTTTACCTTGTATCAGAGCATATACAGTCAGTGCAAACAGTGTGCATGGGTCGTTATGTGCTTCGATAGTCAGACAAGCAACTCTAATATTGGAATTTCCCTCGCTTTCCAACGGCGAGCGATTACCGCAGCAAAACCTGCGCTATCGAACACTTCTTTAGAATGGTCACCTAGCTGGCTATGAAGGACACTTCTAGTGTGCCCTTTGGGTGACCTTTGGGCGACCTTCATTTACAGGTTTGACTGTATATATTACTTTGTCGTAACTTATTTCACACAATGAGTGCAGTGTACGAATATGGGTGTAAATATGGGTGCAAATGTGGATGTAAACGGTGCGAATGACAATGCTTTCAAACTGCATCGAACGAATGCAGGTGAAACATTGCATGACAGAATGCAAATGAAGTGGTTATAGATGTGAAGTTTTACAAGATGGTTTCATCGAGAGCTGAGTGGAGAAAAATTGTGCGGTTAGCAGGAGTGATTTAAGGGTGCCACAATTGTTAGGCCGTGCTGAGATCCCAGCCAGTGACTAGAAACGAGGTTGGGCAACTGAGACAAGTGAGATGATGGCACTTATTTGACACGAAAGATTAGTGTGATCAAAACAACGAATAAGGAAATAAAGTGAATCTGGTTGTCCACGCACATCGGTCGATGTAGTCACTCTGATATCAATCTTGCGTTATTAATGCGTATAAGTTGGGTCCAACGAGCTGTGATATAAAAATATAATCCGCTGGGCCTCTATTGCGAGCTCCGCTCGTGGGAGAAAAGTAGGGACCAATTGAAACGGCATGAAGATGGATCGTTCGTTCTGCTTCACTCCACGAGTGTTGCAAGCTTGTGTTGTTACTTTTGTCATAAGTACGAGTTGAAAGTTATAATTGAGAGTGCTCGAGCGGAAATAACCGTTGCGTAATGCGACCGTGTAAACGCTACAGTTTCGATTAAATATCCTGTGATTTGCGGCAGCTACATCCTCTCAATGTTTGCTCTGCACAGGGATCTTAATGCAGCGTGTAGCTACAAGGTGCTAACACTTAACACGCCATTAGAGCGGTATTTTTATAGTCGCCTGGCGGGCGCTTAAAGCGGTGTTAGCGTGCACGTGCTATGGCAACTTGAAAATGGTTCCGTCTCGGTCTCGATCGCTACCGCCCGTCTCTCTCTCTCTTACGAAGCTAAAACTCGAATAAATATGTAATATGGGCACGGAGGGTAGTGAGAACTCACCCGTAACGATAATGCACGGACGGACGGAATCGTTCTAATAACGCCCCCGCACGCACATAGCGCGCGCCTGTGGCGCCAACACAACGCGCATGAGCTGCCCGCGGAATACCTAATGTGTACTTATAGCGAGAAGGAGGATAAAGATGAGGCCCAGGAAGAGGAGGAGGAGCAGGAGAAGGAGGACAGCAGCAGCAGCAGAGAGAGGAGCAGGAGCAGGGGGAGGAGCAGTAGCAGGAGAATAGTAAGAGAATGAGGGGAAAAAGGAGGCGGAGAAAAATGATGAAGAGAAAAAGCAGGAGTATGAAGAGAAGGAGGAGAATGAAGAGGAGGAGGAGGAGGAAGAGGAGGGCAGCAGGATAAACAGAAGGAGGAGCAGGAGCAGTAGCAGGAGAATAATAAGGAGAATGAGGAGAAAAAAGAGGAGGAGGAAGAGGAGAAAGAGGAAGAGGAAGAGGAGGAGGAGGAGGAGGAGGAGGAGAAAGAGGAGAAGGAGGAGGCTGAAAAGGGAAAAAGACTAATGAGAAGGAGGAGGCAAAGGGAGGAGAAGAAGGAGAAGGAGGAGGAGGAGGAGGAGAATGAGGAGAAGAATGAATGAGGGGAGGATGCGCAAGAGAAGGGAAAGAAAGCGGAGAAGGAGAATGGGAAAAACAAGGAAAAGCAAGAGCAACAGGAGGAGGTCAAAGTAATAGCGCAGATTGTGCGTAGATTTCCTAGCCGCTTGCATATGTGAACAGGATTACATGCGCCTGTCGCCATGATACACAGACACACTGACATACAGCTTACATAGAGCACAGCCCACGATGTGCATGCGTACACACGAATCAGTGCTGCGTGCATTAAGCCCTCTGATTGTATAGTGTTGACGAAGACAAGTTCTGTCATTGCTCTGACGTCATGAACGTGTTTGCCGTAATCCGTCATGACGTGTGTATAGTACTGCTAGAGGGTAGTGTGAAGTATTAGTATTATTAAATATTAGTATAATAATAATAATTATTATTATTATTATTGTTATTATTATCATCATTTAATATTATTATTAATGTTAATGTTAATGCTATTATTATTATTATTATTATTATTATTATTATTATTATTATTATTATTATTATTATTATTGCGTGTGTGCGTGCTCGCCCTTGCTCTTTCTCCCTCTCCCTAACTCACGCGATCTCTCTTCCTCTCTCTCACACCTCCATCTCCCTCTCCTTCTCTCTCACCTCCATCTCTCTCGCTCGCTCGCGCGCGCTCTCTCTTTCTCTCTCTCTCTCTCTCTCTCTCTCTCTCTCTCTCTCTCTCTCTCTCTCTCTCTCTCTCTTGCTCTCTCGCGTTGCCACATCGT